TCTAACTAAACATTTTATTTTTTTATAATTATATTTCATAAAAAAGAAAATATTTTTTTATCATGTATCTCTTTGTTGCACAAGTTTCTCGCAAAACTACACAAGGACTATCAGCGCATAGCCATCCCTAATTTTGAACTGATAGAATAAATGGAAGACTTGCACTCAAAAAGACCTACTGCCAATTGTTCGAATACTCTTATCTGACCGAATCGTGGGATTTGACCAACATCATTATAGCGTATTCTCGGCCCTAAGTACGGAGATTTTTCGGCAAGGGGCCTCGAACCATGAACCCTCGAATTCACAATTCAAACACGTTAACCATTAAGCCATACTCGTCCCATCATTTTTCAAAATATCTACATTGCCCAGAACATAACATTGTTCCGTAGAGCGACAATTCAGTCTCTAACAGCTAATGGCAATACCTACTCTAAATGTCAAGTCTCGATTATTGGAGAAACAAAATGAATGAGATAGGAAAGACGTCAAGACAGTTTTTGTGTTTATTATATTTAGTCTGCCGTCATCCCCAATCAACTTATGTATTTCAGAAGAACAAAAACGACAACAACTGTTTAAAGACTCGCACAAAATAACCACGATTAGGAGACTGACTTCATTTACTTGGTTGAACAAGAAATGCACCCTTCTTTCTCTTAACTAACATTTCATTTTTCCACAGCTTTCAATAGTTCTGAAAAATAAAGTAGTGTTAACAAACACTGAGCAGAGATCTCTCCGTACTCATCTTTTTGAGTTACCTGATTGTTTGTTTGTTTGTTTTTGAATTTCGCGCAAAGCTACACGAGGGCTATCTGCGCTAGCCGTCCCTAATTTAGCAGTGTAAGACTGGAGGGAAGGCAGCTAGTCATCACCACCCACCGCCAACTCTTGGGCTACTCTTATACCAACGAATAGTGGGATTGACCGTCACATTCTAACGCCCCCCCCCCCGGAAAGTCGAGCATGTTTGGTATGACGGGGATTCGTGCCCGCGGCCCTCAGATTGCGAGTCGAGCGCCTTAACCACCTGGCCATGCCGGGCCCGAGTTACCTGAGCTTTTACACTCTCGAGAACCGTATTCTACCAATATAGAAACAAATATGAACCCATATTCTACCAATATAGAAACAAATATTAACCCATTTCTACCAATATAGAAACAAATATGAACCCATATTCTACCAATATAGAAACAAATATGAACCCATGATTCTACCAATATAGAAACAACTATGAACCCATATTTTACCAATATAGAAACAACTATGAACCCATATTTTACCAATATAAAACAAATATAGAACCTAATTTTACCAATATAGAAACAATATGAACCTATGTTCTACCAATATAGAAACAACTATGAACCCATATTTTACCAATAT